CAGATCACGTGTCAGCCCAGGGTCCAGTGTTTGGATACATTTGATCAGATCACGTGTCAGCCAGGTTTCAGTTTTGTATACCCTAAATAAAACACATTATCGTGTTACGTGTTAGATATCATGGTCAGGTTTAACTTAAACAATAACTATAAGGTAATACCGTTCTCTTGATTTTTTTTCTAATTCTTTCGGACATGTGTGTGTGAAAGTTTTGTGTCTATAAAGGTATATAGATGTCCAACCCATATTTAGCCAAAATCTTATCTTTGTTTACACGACAAAACCCTGACACTTATACATCATATATTGGTTTGTTTGATCTATTTAGCATATCTTATCATTGTTTGATATAAACAGCTGTTAGATCTTGAGGAACAAATTTGACTTTTAAAGGCCGTATGTCAATAAATTTCATAAATAGACTCAATATTTTAGCGATCGTTTGTGTTATAGACACCAGCATGCAATGTATTAAAGATAGATGGTGGTCGGATGGCGCAGTGTGTAAACTATATGGGAAGTAATTATGAAATTTGCAGTTTCCTTATAAATTACTTTATTTTTAAAAATGTTGACTGAAATTAACTTTTGTTAGTTATTGCCATTTTAATCAGAACAGGTATATAACGTTATCATAAAAAACGGATCAGTACCCGTATACATCATTCTTCAAGGTTAGTGCCAATATGAGCATCTTTTTTATTTCGTTTTTATATCAGCGTGGGATTTTTAATTTCAAACAGTGTAATTATTTTTTTCAGTTTTAAAACGTTTAATTTGAATTCAAGGTCGACTGAGCATAATTTGTTGCAACCATATTTACAATAATATGTGTAGATTGTAATACTGGATAATTCTACGTGACATGTTAATCGGTGGGTACAGTAAAGTGAGTTTATGAGTTAGTAATAAAACACGCGGTTAACTTTAAATAGGACTGCATACAAAACGATGATATCTTATCAAAATAGCTACTTTGAGTTCAAAAAGATCTGACTAGATAATAACGAATGCACTCTCGTCCTTGAAATCGTGAACAATAATTCCTTTTAACGAAAAAAAACTCATAGTTGGTTATTTTAACGCTTATTCATCCTAAAATGTTAATATATATTTACATCGAGCTTTCTTATAAGTGTATATTAAAACGTCGGTATTCTTTGTTTTTGGTTTTACGGGATTTGGCTCCCTCGTGGCAAGAGAAACACCAAGATTAGAAAATAACGCATAGAAAAAAGTGCAGAAATGAAAAAAAGGAAAAAAATCAAGATCGTAGATATTGTAAATCTATTATGATACCAAGATATCAGTTTTATCTATTTTAAACTCATATAATTTCGTGAGGCTTCATTATTATTATTTCTTTTTTGTTAAAAATCACTGCTTCGTGAAAACTTAATTTCGTGGATAGATATATCTTGATAAGTATACGTGGGTTCAGAGTATCTTAAATGACTGATTTTACAGTACGTTAGAGATTCTATTCATGAAATAGTCACCACCGAAGAATGAGAGTGTGGTAAAACGTGCAAGCTTCACAACGAAAAGATATTAAATCTATGAGATTCTGTCATGTAAATGCCTTACACAGCACTTTAGCCACTTCATTCCGATCTTGTCCTACAACAGGGCCAGTCTTCCAGCAGGCTGTAGGTTGTCAATCTGATGATTTTGACTTACCTATCGTGACTTTTACAATTCTAGAAAGTTATAACCCTGCTTCCTCAACCAATGGTACATGTATTTACAGATACAATGTAGCTTGTGATTCAAGCACTTGTTCCTTAAATCTCGCGGTGGCCGAGTAGTTAAGGCGTCTGACCGTCTTTATCACTTGCCCTCCACCTCTTGGTCACGGGTTCGATGCCTACATAGGACGGTCGCCAGATACTGAGCGCATGTCGGTGGTTTTTCACAAGGAACTCTGGCTTTCCTCCATCATCCGAACCTGACAATTCCTTAATAACCTTAGATGTAAATAGGACGTAAAACAACAGTTAACAATATTTCCTTGTACAACACGAACTTAGATATATACAATGCGCATTAGTATAAATTGTGCTTTCATTGTGGTTAATTATTGTCCGTGTTTTCAATTTAAAACATTTACATAGCGGGTGTCATAGAGGAAACAGAAGACGCTTGTAAACTTTTCCGGAACACCTGGTCTTAAGCTCCAGCTGCTTATTCAACGGTCACCGTGTAAATTTTTCATTGTTTATGTTTTTACACCCTTTCAACGTTGAAAATGACATTACGATTACTAAACTGTCACCTTTGTTAGACAAATGACCCGTGTGAAACGCATTTGCACAGAGTTCTTCGGTGGAAGAAATGGTAATGAAATTACAAGACTACAATATAACCTTATGTAAACAAGTTTGAAAATAGTGTGACAAGATGTTAATAAAATTATAATGAAAAAAATCACATTGGTGACTGTATAATTAACAGTAACAAAGCGCTATCCCATGACAGCCAATTCAGCTACGCTTTGTTTAATACTGTTCATAGATGTACGAGAGTCTATGGCCCCCTTTATCTCTATTTAGTACCTGCCAACTATGTCGTATCTAGATGGCTTCCATGATCTTGAAGTGATTGTTTTCCCTTGTTATTGTTTTGACATTGTACCTGTATTTTGTTGTATGACATGATTAATCTGTTAGTATTTGGATTATTTCCGCTCCGTATTTTTCTGGTGTTCGTTAAGTTTGCTCCCAAATTTTCTCCACGTTCTCCGACATAAGATACATCGAACTCCAAGCATCTGATATTGTATACACACATTCTCAAATTGACTGATATTGTGTGTGTGAGCTTCACGAAAAAAACATTAAGGAAAAATTCCTGTGTCATGCTAGGAGTGACTGCCGTTACACATTGACCGGGCCCGTTGTAACCCAGTAGACCCTCCCGGGACGGTGTGGCGAGTTTATGTGGTGATTCAATCCTGTCAATACCAGGTATTCGTATTAACTCGAACCCAATATGCAAAATAATATTCTGTGGCTTATAAATAATTTAAAAAATATATAGATATTGAGACATGACAGTTAAATGTATTTGCCGATCAAATTGGTGTCATTCCGAAAGGGGAAAACTAGTATAGCTATTTTACTACACAAATATTGTCAGTCATTGTGAACATATCGTAACATGGCTCAAATTTCATTCATTTGTTTTCCTCAATCACGCTAGCCTCTTATTTTACGCTGCGTCACTTTAGTACAGTTGAATAGGGGCGTTGTATAACACTGAAGCTCTCACAAAAAATTCTATAACGTTTTCCATAATTACTATGTATACTGTATTTTCAAATCGATCAATTAAAAATGACGTAGACACAATTTCATTTTAATTGTTTGGTCAGTGTTATTATAACCTCTGAATTTATTCTGTAGTATTTACTTTCAATAATTATTTTTTTTTAAATTTGACAATTCAGAAAACGGTTGTATAGTGTTACTCGTGAAAATGTAGTATTGTTTCATACTGTGATATGATACGGGTTTTAATTTATCCTGATGTCGCTTGTCTGTGCGTGTTAGTTTAAATGTTTGGGGTATTTAAAAATGATTTGTGTTCACTATTTACATTTTTGTTTTGTCAGCGAATTCTCTACACCCAAACATTGATAATTGGCTCTCGTACACCTTGGTGTACCTGAAGTGTAGCACATCTCTCAACGTACGTGTAGCGAAAAATATCACTTTCGACACACAAGAATCATGGGACAAAAATATTTAAACTTTGATATATCCTAGATATACATTTGATTATAAAAAATAAATTTATTCCAAAACAGACACTGCAATAAAATTGATATAGTTTGAGCGGTTTATAAAATGTGATAGAAATCTTTATAATCTTTGGCAGTTATGTGGTTTTGACATGCTTGTCAAGTCCCGTTCATGTGATACATATCAACATTTAGATATCAACTGTACATTAATACACACGTAGTTTACATGTATAAATTTTCTATCAACTCTGTCTTGGACGGGCTAATACAATAGCTGTGATATTTCACAAATACCCCCACAGTCTTTCGTATACACGATACTTATGTATGTGTGTCGTCGATAGGTTCGTGTGAACTGTTAAGGACTGACCATGGCTAAATTGAGTTAATAACCAACAGGTGCATTAAATTCCTTGGTCTTACGGTTTCAGATTTAATGTGAAAAAAGGTCAACCATAACACGAACCTAGTTATCCATCTCATCAGATTTATTAAACGAAAGACTTGTTAAAATTAGAAATCCATGCCCAATTCGTATATTTATTGAAACAGATAAGAAATGATGTTCCTATTATCACATGATCGAAATATCACGTGAAGAAAAGTTACTGTGGTGAAATCAAATCCGGAACTCTTTCTCTCATCCAAGTGCAGTGTGTCTTACTTCACTGTGTACCTCACTACGTCCTACCTACTAACTCTTAATTCACTACGTCCTATCCCAGTGTCTTCTACCTCACTACGTCCTATCTCACTGTCTCTTACCTCACTACGTCCTATCTCACTGTCTCCTACCTCACTACGTCCTATCTCACTGTCTCCTACCTCACTACGTCCTATCTCACTGTCTCCTACCTCACTACGTCCTATCTCATTGTTTCCTACCTCACTACGTCCTATCTCACTGTCTTCTACCTCAATACGTCCCATCCCAGTGTCTTCTACCTCACTACGTCCTACCAACTGTCTCCTACCTCACTACGTCCTATCTCATTGTTTCCTACCTCACTACGTCCTATCTCACTGTCTTCTACCTCAATACGTCCTACTCTACTGTCTCCTACCTCACTACGTCCTATCTCACTGTCTTCTACCTCACTACGTCCTATTCCACTGTCTTCTACCTCACTTCGTCCTATTCCACTGTCTCTTACCTCACTACGTCCTATTCCACAGTCTTCTACCTCATTGCGTCCTACTCCACTATCTCCTACCTCACTACGTCCTATTCCACTGTCTTCTACCTCACTTCGTCCTATTCCACCTCACTACGTCCTATCTCACTGTCTCTTACCTCACTACGTCCTATTCCACTGTCTCCTACCTCACTGCGTCCTATCTCACTGTCTCCTACCTCACTACGTCCTATCTCACTGTCTCCTACCTCACTGCGTCCTATCTCACTGTCTCCTACCTCACTACGTCCTATTCCACTGTCTCCTACCTCACTACGTCCTATCTCATTGTTTCCTACCTCACTACGTCCTATTCCACTGTCTTCTACCTCACTACGTCCTACTCCACTGTCTTCTACCTCACTGCGTCCTATCTCACTGTCTCCTACCTCACTACGTCCTATCTCACTGTCTCCTACCTCACTACGTCCTATCTCACTGTCTCCTACCTCACTACGTCCTACTCTACTGTCTCCTACCTCACTACGTCCTATCTCACTGTCTTCCTACCTCACTACGTCCTATCTCCACTGTCTCCTACCTCACTGTCCTATCTCACTGTCTCCTACCTCACTACGTCCTATCTCACTGTCTTCTACCTCACTTCGTCCTATTCCACTGTCTCTTACCTCACTACGTCCTATTCCACAGTCTTCTACCTCATTGCGTCCTACTCCACTGTCTCCTATCTCACTACGTCCTATCTTACTGTCTCCTACCTCACTTCGTCCTATCGCACTGTCTCCTACCTCACTACGTCCTATTCCACTGTCTCCTACCTCACTACGTAATATTCCACTGTCTTCTACCTCACTACGTCCTACTCCACTGTCTCCTACCTCACTACGTCCTATCTCACTGTCTCCTACCTCACTGCGTCCTATCTCACTGTCTCCTACCTCACTACGTCCTATTCCACTGTCTTCTACCTCACTTCTTCCTATTCCACTGTCACCTACCTCACTGCGTCCCATCCCAGTGTCTTCTACCTCACTACGTCCTATCTCACTGTCTCTTACCTCACTACGTCCTATTCCACTGTCTCCTACCTCACTGCGTCCTATCTCACTGTCTCCTACCTCACTACGTCCTATCTACGTCCTATCTCACTGTCTCCTACCTCACTACGTCCTATCTCACTGTCTCCTACCTCACTACGTCCTATCTCACTGTCTCCTACCTCACTACGTCCTACTCCACTGTCTCCTACCTCACTACGTCCTATCTCACTGTCTCCTACCTCACTACGTCCTATCTCATTGTTTCCTACCTCACTACGTCCTATCTCACTGTCTTCTACCTCACTACGTCCTATTCCACTGTCTCCTACCTCACTGCGTCCTAATCCACTATCTCCTACCTCACTACGTCCTATTCCACTGTCTTCTACCTCACTGCGTCCTATTCCACTGTCTCCTACCTCACTACGTCCTATTCCACTGCTACTACCTCACTTCGTCCTATTCCACTGTCTCCTACCTCACTACTTACTATCTCACTGTCTCCTACCTCACTACTCACTCTCACTGTCTCCTACCTCACTACGTCCTACTGTCTCCTACCTCACTACGTCCTATTCCACTGTCTCCTACCTCACTACGTCCTATCCACTGTCTCCTACCTCACTCCTATCCACTGTCTCCTACCTCACTACGTACCTATTCCACTGTCTCCTATCACTACGTCCTCTTCTACCTCACTACGTCCTACTCCACTGTCTTCTACCTCACTGCGTCCTATCTCACTGTCTCCTACCTCACTACGTCCTATCTCACTGTCTCCTACCTCACTACGTCCTACTCCACTGTCTCCTACCTCACTACGTCCTATTCTGTCACTGTCTTCTACTCACTACGTCCTATTCTGTCTCCTACCTCACTACGTCCTACTCCACTGTCTCCTACCTCACTACGTACTATCTCACTGTCTCCTACCTCACTACGTCCTTTTCCACTGTCTCCTACCTCACTACGTCCTATCTCACTGTCTCCTATCTCACTACGTCCTATTCCACTGTCTCCTACCTCACTGCGTCCTATCTTACTGTCTCCTACCTCACTACGTCCTATTCCACTGTCTCCTACCTCACTTTGTCCTATTCCACTGTCTCCTACCTCACTACGTCCTATTCCACTGTCTCCTACCTCACTTCGTCCTATCTCACTGTCTCCTATCTCACTACGTCCTATTCCACTGTCTCCTACCTCACTACGTCCTATTCCACTGTCTCCTACCTCACTTCGTCCTATCTCACTGTCTCCTATCTCACTACGTCCTTTTCCACTGTCTGCTACCTCACTGCGTCCTATCTTACTGTCTCCTAAATCACTACGTCCTATTCCACTGTCTTCTAACTCACTACGTCCTACCCTACTTTCCCTTTCATCACTGCCATGCCACGTCCTACCCTATTATCTCGTACCTCACCACCTTCTACCCCACTTTTCCCTACCTCACTGCCATGCCACGTCCTACCCTACTATCTCGTACCTCACCACCTTCTACCCCACTTTCCCCTACCTCACTGCCATGCCACGTCCTACCTCATCATGTCTAACCTCATTAGATCCAATCTTTAGATGTGAATGCATATTGCTGAAACATAGGTTGTTGAATTGTTGAAGTTGTGTCAAATTGATGGTGAGTTATGATGATTAAAAAAACTAATACTGATTTAAACGGAAAAATATGGCAATCGTGTCCCCAACTGGTACATTTTGTAACATCCTTACACTGAACTCACCGACACTTGACATTACTGACACCTCACTCCACAGACACCTGACATTACTGACACCTCACTCCACAGATACTTGACTCACCGACACCTGACAATACTGACACCTCACTCCACAGACACTTGACTCATCGCCACCTGACATTACTGTCACCTCACTCCACAGATACTTGACACAACGACACCTGACAATACTGACACCTCACTCCACAGACACTTAACTCATCGACACCTGACATTACTGACACTTCACTCCACAGTTACTTGACACAACGACACCTGACATTAATGACACTTCACTCCACAGAAACTTAAGTGACCGATATCTGTCTATAAAGTCAGTATTCACTGCAGATCGTGAAAGAATTTATTTTCGTTGATCCAGGTGACAGCCGCGCTTGAGATACATATTGATCTTTTGGATAGAAATGATTAATTATTCATGAAATCAATAAATCGATTTCATTTGCGACTAGTTAACTAAGAAAATGGATAGAGATGTCATACATGAATTGTTTTATGACAAATACAGACTGTGAGATCTTGTTAACAATGAACCGTAGACAGTGTATACGAGTTAGCCGGACTAAGGGTATGTATGTAAGTTGTGTTTACGTATAAAGATACACAGCATCCCCGGTGTTCGGTGCAGGATTCGTCTTCACAAATGTACAGGTATCGATAATTACTCTTGGCTGTATATTATCTGAAGCTCAAAGCAAACACATTCGACTTCATATCACATAGATACTATTGCTGTAGTTAAATGGTGGACCCCTATATCTATAGGTAAGGGATTCATTCATAACACGACACTGTCTTCATCTAGATGTATCTACGTTCTGTAAAGGAGCCATCAATGGTCATTGTAAATTGAATCTTTCGTTATCATTTACAATTTTTCACCTTACCAGGGAAATTGTTAAAAAGATGTTCATTATTTTTAATCAGGTACAAGATTTACATGAAGACAATAACAAAATGGAATCTAATATTATTTTTATTTTTTTATAACTGACTATTAGTTTAAAAATACAAGGCCTCAGGAAAGTGTCGTATCCTGACAGTCTGAAAGAATATAATGATTAGTTTTCTTAGATATACATGTAATGAAGATAGTTAAGTACATTATCAATATTTGACGCCATTCGCCATTTGCTGCTGACATCATCACTAACAGACATAAACACTAATCACGGAAGTGATCAGCATCTCGTGTACGTTTGAATTTGTGACGATGATTTTGCTGACGTCATCACTAACAGACACCAACACTAATCACGGAAGTGATCAGCATCGCGTGTACGTTTGAATTTGTGACGATGATTTTGTTGACGTCATCACTAACAGACACAAACACTAATCATGGAAGTGATCAGCATCGCGTGTACTTTTGAATTTTTTGATGAAAATTTTGCAGACGACTTTACGTATCTGATATACCGAATCTGTTTTAAAGCTACCAGACAGTTTTAATTTCATTGTTATCAAATACATAGTTCCAAGTGATTTCCATTTTCTACAGATTAATCTGAAACCAGGTAGGTGTTTACTTATTGTTAAAAGCCGAGCTGTCTGGATTATACCTGAAATAAGAGTTAAATAACTTACACATTTATAAAGAAAGCAGTAGATTAACTGAAGTTATAACGTAACGGTTCTGACCAGCGATCATTTATTTTTCAATACATGATCAGCTTAAAGATTGCTACAGATTAATTCAATAGTAGAAATTGACACATCTAAAAAAATCAATGATTTGAAAATAAATATCACATTTTTATTTTAAATATCGAAATTAAAGGAAAATGATTTAGTTGATTGGTATAAGGTTAATATCTCCGTTTTTGTGTAACGACTGAGTACGTCAGTAAGCTGCTGGGAATTGTTTAAGCAGTCTAACCCACTCCCAATAAATCTTTCCAATAATACAATCATACAGCATTGTAACCGTCCGTTGGATTAATTTAGGTTAGAGTTTAATGTCCATTTCACCTGCAGGCCAAACATTACAATGCTTGACTGACCGAAATGTTTACACATTAAGTTAGAAATGGGGTCAATCGTTGTCAATTAAATGCTTACTTGACGTTTCAGACAAGACTCACACAGGCATTGTATTTACGATTACCAGATACTAAGAAAAATTCAAAAATGTGTGAAACAGTTGGAGAAATATTAATGGTTATCGAAGTTAACTTCAATTTCATGGGCTTGAAACAAAGATAATGACGTCCATAATTCCGATAAACATATATAACTACTTAAAATGGATAATTAATTCTGATGATATAAACATATTATACAATTAATGACCAGTTTTCAGGTGAACACGATCATTTATTAACCCGAGAAGGGAAATATCACCTCCGAGGGTTGATAAACAGGTGACTAATAGTTTTATAACGACGACAATTCGCGCTTCTGATTGGTCAGATAACAGGTTACTGGTTGTTACCTATATTATATCATGTGAGACAACCGACAGGGTTTAAGACTATTCTATTCATCTATTTAGACTGAGAGTTGTTGTAACTAGTCAATGTGTAGGAATAATAAAATGACGTAATAATTAATCTTTTTGTGTATAATAAATTAATAAATTAATCTTACATGATTGTCTGTAGACACTGCTCATTCTAAACTAAGCCCGAAAGCTTTGATACCCTGACTAATGCATCATCATATTGAAGTATTGGTAATTTAAAACAAAATATAACAGCACAGGAGAGTGGGTTACTTCCCTTCGATTGGTAAGCCGTTAATACAGTTTCAAAACATCTCTTGTTATAATGAGTATTAATTTATACGTCCTTAACCTGTACACGTGTAAAATATTTATTCATCCCGTCGTATTTTCTCTCAGCAACTTTACCCTCAAATAGATTAATTGTCACAACTGCGTCATCTCTCAAACTTGTTTACGTTCTCTGGAAGAAACATATACCTACTATTTACGTCATAGTCGATGTTTTGTGAAACCGTATATCAGGAATTTTTTTGCGGGTGTCAAATTCTAAGAATTTAACGACCCTTCAAAATGAAAAAAATCAAAAGCGCCAAGTGATAATGTTTCCTTTTTATTGTAAACTCATGAATAATGCATATATAGAGCTGCCGTACATATGTACCTACGTGCACCTGGACAATATCTGGTCGTGAATATTTCTATCACCAATATATTAGATATCTCAGTATGACTGCTCAGTTACATCTACAGCTGATGTTAGAAATTAGTAAATATATAAGCTATGCCCATTCTGGGGTATTCAAATACTTAAAAAGAGCCTTTTGAATTTCTGAGAAGAAGAAATCGCAAAATATGAAATATGCAAAAAGTACATTTTTGGGGATTCTCGCCAAAATTCCACAGCGCAAATATCTCTCGACATACGGTATTTTGATATTTCGCATTGAAATTACATGCGAGAAGTCGCCAAGCGAAAACGGCGCAATAACGAAAGGACACGCAAAAGCGGAAGACGTTTGTCTTTTTTCTCTTAGATTTCAGAGGTAAGACACTTGGGAAAGCCTCTGATACGTCACTCTGGTTTGGTAATGAGGGAGAGGGGGTTTTAGGCAAATAAGGTGGTTAAGGGGAACCGCGTTAGACAGATGGGTTTGACATTGCGCAGGGAGTGGTTCAGAGGTTACGGAGGTAAAGAGGTGGGTAACTTGAGGGCAAAGGGTGGGATAAGTGTGGCGATAATATATTGTACTTAAAATTGGTAAACTGAAGTGTCTCAATGTTTCTTCGTAGATAGCACTGTCAAGGTGGGTAGGCTGATGCGGACTTAGGATCGACATGTCCATACCGGACGCATGGACGACGGACAGGGTGGACTTCAATGGCAAGGCCAGGGTCGTGAAACTGGTGAGTTCACTTCTCTTTTTTAAATCGACCACTTCTAAATATAAAATTACACGGCACTGAATATTGATTTTGTCTGTATCATAAATTGAAAGATACAAGGGAGGCAACTCTTATTCAAATTTGTACCTAAGTGATCCATGAATTGGAGAGCCCAATACTGATTTGAAATAAATAAATAAATAAATAAATAATGGATATCAAAAATATAGTCATATATATATATATAGGCCAACAAGAGTGATCAATACTAGATCGAATAACTTGTTCCGAAATTGATGTATAATGAATAAGTTTAATATCCGATGTATTCAATGACATTTCATGGTCGCTTTTACATGTAGTTTATGTAATGTCAGTTATATGTATCTTGTGTCTATATTTGCTCGTATTTCCAGTACATTCATAGTCCAGTATTTGACACTTCACGTCATTTTTTTTTTCATTTCTCCCTTCATGTATAACCACTATTTGTTCCTCGATGTCCAGGTAACTGGCATTAAGGACGTGGGAGCGGCCAAAGTTAAGAACCTGTCCAAATCCAACACCAATGGTACGCACGCTAGTCACAAATCACGCTCTCAGAAAGTACTACAGCTGAAGGCTAAACATTTCTCCGACAAGCCAGTGGTTCGAACCAATAATTCGGACGATCGACCCCTCAGCACCAAACCTCCGATCTGTCCAGGGGCATACTTCATGCCGTCAGAAAACCCAACAGGTACGTATAACTGTATCTCATGCAGAGTGTCTTAAAGACTAGAAATATGATATTTTTTTTTTATATTTTTGGTATCAGATCGTGAAATGCGTAGACTACAAATCAAAATAAAATACCCAGGGTAAATTTCTTTACATACTGATTTTTTTCGGTACATGGATCTACCGTCAGAAAAAACATGAAAAAAATTCCAGGAAAAGAATACTAAACATAAATTGTCACCAATTAACTTGATATAAATTCACTCTATCTAAGATACCTA